CATAGAATGTGAAGTGCTGTGGCTCACGCCTGTAATCCTACCTACCCAGGAGGCTGTGATCTGAGGATCACAGTTCAGAGCCAGCCCAGGCAGGAAAGTCCATGAGATGCTTATCTCCAATGGACCCCCAAAATCCAGCACTAGAGCTGTGGCTCAAGTGGTAGAAACCAGCTTTGGGCAAAATCAGCTCAGGGAGAGTGCCCAGACCCCGATTTTAAGCTCCAGTACAGCCCTCACACACACAAATAAGCAACAAAGTTTTTCCCCTAAAGAGCAAACATGTCTACCTTGTGTGTTTAGGCCAGTGGCCAGTCTTTCACTTTTCCGTTAAGTATAAGGCACGAGATGTGTAATGCTCACCTTTCTTCTCTTCCCTCCCTCCCACCACAGAGGCCCCCGCAGGTCAGGACTGGTCTTGTTGGGTGTGGCATCAATTATCCACCCACCAGCCCCTGACTCCTCATATCTCAGTCCATCTCTTCCTTCTGGGTTTTTGTGCTTCATATCAACATTGTCACATTTTATTGTAGTGTAAATCAGATGTTTTTAACATTAAAACATCAGGGCTGGAAATGTGGCTTAGTGGTAGAGTGCTGGCCTCACACCCATGAAACCCTGGGTTTCAGTACCACATACACAGAACTCAATTCAAGTGGCGCTGTGGCTCAAGTGGTAGAGTGCTAGCCATGAGCCAAAGACGCCCTGGGACAGAGCCCAGGCCCAGAGTTTAAGGTCCATGGCTGGAAGAAAAACTAAACCACCAAATCCCACTGCTTCCTACAGAACACTGGAATAGCACTGACCGGCTGCTTTTGCTGTTTTCAGTTTCCATCCTTCTACCCTCTATTCTTGAGGCCAACCAGGTCCCCTGCCAGACACACTGACTGTGCCTTCTGGAAGGTGGCTTTTTGTTTCCTTCCTGGTCTTGTCTCTCTGGCAGCCCTTTGTGGGCTGTGGGATGGCAGGGAGGCCTGCAGCTCCAGGCCTGTCCTTAGTGGAGAGCCTTCTGAATTTGACCCCTGGAGTGATGTCAGCCATGAGTCTTCCTCTCTCTCTTCTTCCTCTTCCTCCTCTTCTTCCTTCCCTCCTCCTCCTCTTCTTCTTTCTGCTTCTTTGGCAGATGCCGCATCTCTTTTTGCTTTAGGTTATTTTTTTCAGGGAGGGTCTTGAGTTTTGGCCAGAGCTGACTTTGGATGGCAATACTGCTACCTATAGCCTGTCAAACAGCTGTGTCACAGGTCTGCACAACTGCACCCAGCCTGCTGATGCAGATGGATTCTCACATTGTGGGAGGCCGTCCTTGAATATTGATCTCCACCTTCCAAGGAGCTGGGAGGCATGGGCCACCACAGGCCGCCAGTCTTTGTGAAATGCTTTGTACCAAGTTACAGAGTAAACTGATCCATGTTTTCCTAGTTTATAAAGAGCAAATCACAATGGTGACTTGGTGTTGAGTTCTGTAGTTTCCCAGGGTACCCATCGGTACTACCACATTCCTTCCTTTTCCGGTTGTATTGATTGATTCTCCAGGACTGAGCTAGCCTTGCATTCCTGCAGAAAGGCAGCCCTGTCGTAACACATTATCCTGCTGCATAGTTTTCTGAAATGCCCTAGGTTTGGACTTCAGTGTATTGATGACCCCCCACCCCCACCCCCGCGTTGTGGGAGGAGCTGTGTAGAACCATCATTGTTTTCATTTTTGAACATTTTCATAGACTTCTCTAATGGACAACCTGGACCTAGTGGTTTCTTGGTTGGAGCGATTTTAAGTTGAAATCAACAAAGAAACTACAGGGAGGAAAAGGGATGTCAGAGAAAATATTTGCAAGAGATACGAGTGGTAAAGCTGCTACCCATAATTACAAAGACCTGTTAACACTCAAGCATAAGAAAACAACCTGAACCAAAAATAAACAAGGGTGGATAAACCCTTCGCTACCGAAGATACACAGGTGGCCGAGAGGTGCATGCAAAGATGCTCCATCACTTGATAAATGCACATTAAAGTAACCACTTGACACAACTACATGGCTATTCGACTGGCCAAAATCCAAAACTGACAGCAGTAAATGTGGGCAAGAGTGTGGCATGGTGGTGGACCCACTCCTGGAGGAATGAGAAATAGTGCTGCCACCTCCCCAGACAGCCCCGTTCACCCTTCCTTCCTTCCTTCCTTCCTTCCTAGCTGCCTGCCTTCCTGCTTTTTCTCTGTCTTTCCCTCCCTTTCTTTTTCCTTCCCTCCTTCCCTCCCTCCTCCCACCTCTCTTGTACCAGGGCAAACATCCCAGTAGCCTATAACACCCTAGAACAAAGTAACCCCCACAGGATTGCAACACACACAAGAGCAACAATGTCAAGGTCCCACTCAAATCCACCAATTACTGAAGAGAAGAAAACATGGGGAAAGTGTCACCAATCACAGACATGTCACCCAGCAGCTCCCACTGATGTCTATCCAGAACAGATTTGTCACCCAACAGTGCTCATTATATTCCACGCACTCCAGAATTAGAAAAACAAAACAAATTAAGCATATTAAACAAAACAAGGAAGGTCCTTTAAAATAACCTAAGACACAAGCTGGGAGCCAGTGGCTCTTGCCTGTAATCCTAGCTACGCAGGAGGCTGACATCTGAGGATCATGGTTCAAAGCCAACCTGGGCAGGAAAGTTCTAGAGATTCATCACCAGTTAATCATCACAAAACTGGAACTGGAGCTGTGGTAGAGCACTAGCCTTGAGCACAAAAGCCCGGGGACAGTGATCAGGCCCTGAATTCAAGTCCCAGGATCTGAACAAATAATAAAGGCAAATGATGTAAGACACAATCAGATGCTGAGAGAACAGCCCAAGTCTGAAGTGGCAGAAAAGTTTGTGAGGCCTCTTCTGAATTCATAGCTGGACACGGTGACCTGAGCCTGTCACCCAAAGGTACCTGGTAGACTGGGCCAGAGGGTGCCGTACCAGGCCAGGCAGGGCAAAAAATTCCAAAAGATGCATCTCGCCAGAAGGCCAGATGAAGAGCAGTCTGCCTGTCTTTCCAGAAACTACAGGAAGCCCAAAATATGCAGGTAGCAGTCCAGGCAAATGCCAGCCAGGAAGCAAGGTCCTATCTCAAAAACACGGCCAAGCCCGGTGCTTGTGGCTCACTCTCCACACACAGTAGAGCTGTATGTGTCACTACGTAAGTGCTATGTGTCATAGTTCTTCCTAGACCCGCTTATAAACTTACTACAATCAAAGCCCAGCAGGATGACAGGGCTCTAGGCTCCCCATAACACAAATGGGAGCAGGTGACAGGGTTCTAGGCTCCCCGTAACACAGATGGGGGCAGGTGACAGGGTTCTAGGCTCCCCATAACACAAATGGGAGCAGGTGACAGGGTTCTAGGCTCCCCGTAACACAGATGGGGGCAGGTGACAGGGTTCTATGATCCCCGTTACACAGATGGGGGCAGGTGACAGGGTTCTAGGCTCCCCATAACACAAGTGGGGGCAGGTGACAGGGTTCTAGGCTCCCCATAACACAGATGGGGGCAGGTGACAGGGTTCTAGACACCCCGTAACACAGATGGCGGCAGGTGACAGGGTTCTAGGCTCCCCGTAACACAGATGGGGACAGGTGACAGGGTTCTAGGCTCCCTGTAACACAGATGGCGGCAGGTGACAGGGTTCTAGGCTCCCTGTAACACAGATGGGGACAGGCGACAGGGTTCTAGGCTCCCCATAGCACAGATGCGGGCAGGTGACAGGGTTCTAGGCTCCCCGTAACATGGATGGGGGCAGATGCAGAATGTCTCTGGACTCTTGCCGGGCACCGCGGATCCACTTTTTCTCCTTCGTCATTAGCGCAGCCTGTCCGACGTGGCCTTGGCTGTGGCTCCCTTTGTCCCACAGAAATCCTGTGGACATACCCAGCGGCTCATCTCCCCCATGTCCTATCATTCATTTGTATGTACTTCCTTATTCTACCTACCTGCCCGTCTCCCCATCCACCCTGCCCTCCCTCCATCCTGTGTACGGCCTTAGCGATGCTTCATCCTCTCTGGATTTAGGCTAAATGCAATAATTCTGCCATAAAAAAACTGGCATGTATTTTCAGTGGCTGTGTTAACACCCAGCACGAAACTCCAGGGCCATAGGACAGGCACAATGCAGTTCAGCAGACGTACCCACGATGCAGTTTGCATCCCTGGATGCATCTCCTGGACCTGTGATTCCAGTTACCCCATTCTTTGAGAAATGAGATCTCCTTGGCCCATGGTGGACGCCATGCAGGAAACCCCCCTCTAGTGTGAGTGTGTATCGAGTGGAGGTGCTCCTGGCATACAAAGACTCCTAAGTGTCCAAGAAAACAAATTCACAATGGCTCTGAATGTCTGTCTCTGTTCCTCTGTTTGTTCAGCTGTTCTGAGTGTTGTATTTGTTTAAATGTATGGCGACTCTCTCCTATAAATCAGAGCAAGGGCCTTTGCCTTTTACCTTCTATAGTCTGGCAGAGACATGGTGTCTTCCCATTCATCTTGCAGTCTGACTCCCGGCTCTCTAACACAAAGTACCATATCTGAACCCACCGTCTGAACCCTGCTCCCCATCTGTTGTCATGTAGATTTCCCTGCAGGCGTGGAAAGTCTGCTCCAGGCCGAGGTGTAAGATGAGGCCTTTGCTTCCCCCAGAAGATGGGGCGGTGGGGGGCTGTGTGTGGCTCCCTGGCTCCAGGCTTGGCAGGGCTGGTGCTGTCCGGGCTGCTCTGTGGCTCTGCGGGGCCACCTGGGTGTGGGGTGTCTGGGGAGCCTCCGGGGACTCCGGGGCTGCTCTGCCCTCCACCCCCCGAGGTGCTTCTGGGCCTTTCTCTCTGGGTGCTGCAGCCTGCCAGGCTCCTGTGGCGCTGGTTCCTGGCTACAGTACAGCTTCAACTTTTTTCCTCCATGACAGAGGTCTGATTTTCATTCCTGCCCGGCTGATTTGTACCCAAGTCCCATGTCCAGGTGTCCTGTGGATGTCAGGGGTCCTGTGCGCGCAGGGGTCCTGTGTGCAGCCAGCTTGTGATGGCCTCTTTGGGCTCCAGCACTGTGGCTCCCGGGTCAGAGGACGGCCGGGTCTCAGCGGTCCTGTCCCACGGCCGTCTCTGGGTTGCTGGCAAGGTTCTCTGATTGTCCACGTTATCCAGAGCTGAACTTGCAGTCCCTTTCTGAGCCATCTGGCTTTCCCTGGCATTTCTGCCCTCCTGTGTTGGGTCCCAGGGGCCCATCCGCGGGAGCAAGGGGGGTGTTGGGTCCCAGGGGCCCATCCGCGGGAGCAAGGGGGGTGTTGGGGGCCAGGGGCCCATCCGCGGGAGCAAGGGGGGTGTTGGGGGCCAGGGGCCCATCCGCGGGAGCAAGGGGGGTGTTGGGGGCCACACCTTGGGCAGTGCCCCCATCCAGTCACTCTCCACACACCTGGCCGGGGTGGCCTGGGCTTCCCTGGAGGCGCTGATGCACGCAGGAGTGGCTGGGCTGGTGACAAACAAACACAGACACAAACTCAGTAGATGCTTCAGGAAAACAATTTATTGGAGGGTCTGACAGTTTTCACAATCAAGGGGATGGAGGTTGAGGCTCCAGACCACAGAGAGAAACCAGGGCCCAGGTGCCGTGGGGTGAGGGGGCCCGAGCAGGACCGCTGCCTGCGTCTGTGCACACGGCTCTGCCCGCCCACGGGAGGCCTGACCTGTGGCCACTGCCCTCTAGACCAGAGCAGAGCCGCTTGTTGATTGGAGAAAGTCAGTCTGTGCACAGATTGTTGGTGAGGAGTCCACGTTCCCTGAGCAGGCCTGGAGAGGCCTCCTGGCACCATGGAGGCATGGCCAGAGAGGTGGGGCGCCAGGCCTTGAGCTCCAGGCTCTGGGGATCACTCAGCAGCAAGAGCTTGTTCCACAGCAGGCCTGGCGGGAGCAGGCAGGGCGGCACAGCAGGGACACGCACGAGGCCGCCGGGCGGCAGCAGCCGGGCTGGCAGCAGGGGGCACAGCAGGAGGAGGTGGGCACGCAGCAGGCGGGCCTGCACA